CTTCTAACCCTGTGCAAAGATACACAAAGAAAAGTGACATGTGCTTTAGGCAACTGCATGGCTCTGTTACAGTATTTGGAAGCGGTCTTGTAAATATTAAATCTTAAGCAGAAACACATGTATATAGTCATAGGTTAAAAAAATCTAAACATCATTCTTAAAGAATGTAATAATCAAGCTTTGGTTTGTCCATGTGGTTTCTAAAAGGATTTTTTTATTATTATTATAAGTTTCAGAGACTTATAGGAGAGGCAGGGAAAATTTCTTTCCTTTGAAATAAATATTGATCATCTCACTGGAAAAATGTAGATATTTTAAGACTATCTGGCAAATGGTCAATTAAGACTGACTTATAGTTGAATTTGGTGATGAACCAAAGGAACTGGCATTTTTAAGTGTTCCAGGTCCTCACCGAGCTCTGCCTCGGGACAGCCATGCGAGTGTCCCAGGCAGGTGCTGGGACAGTAGAAAGGGCCAGGGCTCCGACTTCATAGGGTTTTAACGGCAGGTCTCCTGCTTAACAACTGTGCAGCTTCAGGCAAGCTCCTTTCAACACATGGAAACTTGGGGTTCTGGACTCAGTTGTTGCCCCAAAATTCACACGTTGAGGCCCTTGTTCCCAATGTGACGGTACCTTGGGGGTGGGGCCTTTACAGAGATAATTAAGGTTGGATGAGGTCATAAGAGTGGGGCCCTAATCCAGTGTGGCTGGTGTCTCAGAAGAAGAGGGTGAGACCCCTGGGACGCACAGGCACAGAGAACAGGCACGTGAGGGCCCAGTGAGAAGTCTCCTGTGTACAAGTCAAAGAGAGAGGCTTCAGGAGGAACCCAACTGCGAACACCTTGAACTTGGACCTCTTGCCTCCAGAACTATAAGAAAATTAAATTCCTGTTGGTTTAAGTCACCCAACTTAACAGTCGGTGGTATGCTGTTATGGGCAGTCCCAGCAGAGTGATAAAGTGGGTATAATACGTGGGAGTACGGTTAGGGTTACATGTGGCCGATGCAGTGCATGGCCCCATGTAAGCACTCCACAAATGAAAGCCATTATTCGTGACTCAGAAAAAAAAAGGAAAATGAAAAAGCAAGAAGAAAATTAGTAATTATGTAAAATCCATATATCAAGCACTTTGCATCAGTCTTAATTTAATCTGCATAACAACACTATGCAAACCACCCCCATCTTGCAGATGAAGGAACTGAAGCCTAAAAAGATGGAATTTGTCTAAAGTCCCACAGAAAGTGGCAGAATCAGAACCTAGCATTAACATCTGTTCTTTCCACTATGCCACGCCACGTACTTAAGCAGCTCCCTAGATGCCAAAGGTTACTGATGAAAGAGATCCCCTGTGGGTGATTTCTGCAGTGGACACTCACTAGTGGGTTGGCTTCTCTTGGGGGACAGTATTCCTGCCCACACACAGAGGTTCGCTTCCACAGCTGTGCTACATACATGCCTGCACTGAGAGTCCAATGTCTTCTCAAAAAGGGACTTTTTAATCTACTCAAAGCACTTCACCCACGCATTCATGGGACACTCCAGAGCTGTGTGCCAAAGGCACGAGGCCTACTCAGCCTAAGGAATGGTGAGAGCGTGTGTTAACAATCAGTAAGGCCTTTCCGTGCAGAGCCTGGTTTTGAGAACTGCCCGCAGACAGTCACATAGACAGAGGCCGGGACCGGGATAAGGTTGCTGCAGAATGGAACACTGAGATGCCACATGGAGGACTGCCATGCACGAGATCATTTTGCATGGCACTTTAGCCAAGGGGGATGCCTGTCAGTGAGATCATTGTATTTTGCATTACATGTAGTTGCTATTAAGTTGTTCTTCCCAGTAGTTATAAGCCAATGCAACTGACTGTTTTAAGACCACTCTCTGTTAATGATGAAATGTAATAAAGGTGTTTTTCTTCCCTTTTAACCATGGCATGTTACATGAAAATTTTTGTTATTTTTAAGACTATTTTTTAGAGCAGTTTTGGGTTTACAACAAAATTGAGAGAGAGAGAGAGAGAGAGAGATTTCCATATATTCTTGACCCCCACACATGTATAGCCTCCCCACTGTCAACGTCTTCCGCCAGAATGGTATATTTTTTTTACCAAGGATGGAACGAACCTGCATTGACACCCAGAGTCCCTAGTGTGTTTACATTCGGGTTCACTCTTGGTGCTGTACATTTTGTGGGTTTGGGCAAATACCAATATATAATGACATAGCTCCATCATTGTGCAAATTATCTTCATTTATCTTCATAAAAATTCTATGCTTTGCTTATTCATCGCTCCCCACCACCACCCCTGCAAACACTAATCTTGTGTCTCCATAGTTTTGTTTTGCCTTATTTACATTGACATATAAAAGAAGAGTGTAGAAAGCAGTCCTTTCAACACCAATCGAAGCTGAATTTGAGATTTATGGAAAGGCTTTTTCCAAAATTAGCCATGAGTCACTCACAACAACATGGGTTTGAACTACATGGATGAGTGGATTTTTTTCCCAGTAAATACTGTAAATATATTTCCTCTTATCATTTTCTTAACATTTTTCTCTAGCTTTATTGCAAAAATGTGATACATAATACATATAATGTACAAAATATGTGTTAATTGACTTGTCATTGGTAAGGCTTCTGGTCAACAATAGCCTATTAGTAAAGTTTGGGGGCATCAGAAGTTACACACCGTTTTTTAAAATTTTAATTGTTTAAGTACAGTTTTCTGCCTTTTACTCCCATCCCAGCCTACCCCCCCCAGCCCTCACCACCTCCCTCCTGTTTCCATCCCCTCATTTTTGTCCATGTGTCCTTTATACTTGCTCCTGAAAACCCTTCCCCCCCTTTCCCCTGAAGTTCCCTCGCCTCTCACCACTGGTCACTGTCAGCCTACACACCAATTTTTGACTGCTGAGGGATTAGCGTCCCTAAATCCTGGCTTCTGGATTGTTCTAGGGTCAATTGTACTATTCTCTCTGATTTTGTGTGTGTTTGAGATTTTCCATAATAAGGTTTTTTTTTAAAAAATAGGCAAGATTGACATTAAAAACATTATTTCTACCCTGATTCTAACAGTAATGCCATAGATTCAGACTTTTAAAAAGCCTCTAAGATAGGGATAAAATTACTCCCGTATCTCAACTTGTGAAATCAAAGGCTGATGAAGGATGGATGGCTGCTTACAAACATCTCAGGTATTTCCTAAGTTTATCTTGGTAAGATAATCAGCAACTCAGTAATGCGTCCGGAATCCATCGGTTTCTGGTGCGAGTGTGGCAGATGCTGTAGTGCCACGTGACATAGCCTCTCAGCACCCACCACTTCAAGGGCATGCCTTCTGGTTTCCAAAGTCTGACATCGGTGACTCTCTGCCTGACCTCCTGTCTCTGGTCTCTGGAGACAGCTCTGCTTACCCACGTTGCTTATGGAGATATTAAACAGAATAGGGAATAAGTGGCACACACGGTTTGGGGTTGGAAGGATAATGACTTGTGATTTAAGGAATCTGTGGATCGTGGAGGGGGCACTGCGGGATAGATGTTGAATACAAAGCCCTGTGCATGGCTTATGGAGGTCAGATTCTGTTACCTCCTTTGTTCTCCATGTCCCCATTGTGGACTATGCTTCAGCCACATCCGACGGCTGTCTCTTGACTCTTGATTTGCAGTGGCTGTTCCCTGTAACTGGAATAGTTGTTTGTACCCTGTCCCCTCCATTATCCAGGCAATTCCTGTTTGAACACCTGTGACAGAGCACTCACTGTTATCAAATAGCAGGGCATTTGTGGCCCAGAAAGGGAGCCCTGGAGCCAGCCTGTCTGGAAGTGAACCTTGGCCCCCCCACCCCTCCCTGCCTTAACTGCAGCTTCCTACCCCAATGAGCATAATGTCAGAACACCCCACAGGACTATTAAGAAGATTAAGTGAATTATACAGTTAAGGCACTTAAAACACAGCATAGCACAGAATGTGTTCTATAAATCTTTGCTATTGCTATTAGTTGCTATTTTATAAAACTGTCCATATCATGTATTTACAAAATGTTTTTAAAAGAATTGTTGTACTAGCAGTATTACCAAATAGTGCCAATTTAAAACAGTGATTATTCTGGTCTTTTCTAAGTGTTTTCACAAACTGTTTAAGTATTTTTTACCAGCCCTTTTTTTTCTCCTATTTAACCTTTAAGTCCTTTTTGTTTTGGATCGTCATAATCTGTATACTGCCTATCTTTTATGCTTGTCTTGCATTTCACTGTTTTCTTAAGCATTTCCTGATATTTGAGCATATGGATTTTTTTCAACTTTTAATTTTACTGGTTGGACCTGTTCAACAATCTTTTTCCTATGAGTTAATGGCTTGGAATTTTTTTTCCAGAAAAGGAAATTTGAGTCAAATGTATTTTTATACCTTTTATTATAAATTTCTCCAAATGTTCTCTAAAATTGTTTTATAATCTATTTTAACCATTATAAGTACTAACATAAGAAATTTAAGGGTTGATGGTAATGAGAAAAAAGAAAAGGAATTTAAAAATGTATGAATAATTATCCTTTAAACTTTTGAATATAATGTATCAAAGTTTTAATAAGCTGAAAACAGTATCTGGGTCTAAGACCAAGAGAGCATGAAGTTTGACTTTTTCTAACATAGCAATTACTGTATTTTTAAAAATTGACTTAGTAATAGTTATAGACTTATTTAAAACTAAATTGAAACAATCTGCTTATTTTTTAATATAGTTTAGTTCCTGGAAAAAATAACACATTAAGAATAAAGTTGTTAAACACAATTGATGATTTTTTTCAATGGAATACTATTCCCCTTTCATATTTTTGCATACTGAGAGAATATTTCCTAGCACAGTTATTATATAACTATTATAAATGTCAATATAAGAAATTTAGGAATTTATTCATAATGATTTAAATGCTATTTTATCTCTATTTCTAGTTTTATGGAGATGACATTGACAAATGCTCTTTTAAAAAAATTTTTGAAATAGATCACAGAAAATTCTGTACTATCCACTGCACTGGTTACTTGAGAAGCTGGCCCCCGAGTATCGTTGGAATGGAAGAAGAAAGGGACAATAAGAAAGACAGTAATTTCACCTGCCTTGTTGCCATTGGGAGATTACATCCACATATCGTCCCACAGAGCCGTGGGGAGATTAAAGTGAAACCAACTGAATTTATAACGCGTTTTGCAGTGAACGGAAAATTTGTCTATGTGGACCAAAGGTAACAGTTATACTCCTTAATGGTCAGAACGCAATGGGATGCTTAAGGCTATTAAAATGTGGTTTAGCACTGCTGGACCTAGTCTTTTAAGGCTTTAGAACAGGAAATAAAATCTATGTGAAATAACGTTATGGATATATCAGCAAATTCATTCAAGCCAAAATGTCAACTTGGAATATTTCTTAGCCAGTGGTGCAGAAACTGGGCATGGTCTCTGGCCACAGTTTTATTGGCGGATGGTAGAACAGGCATGCTCTGGATTGGGTGGGTGTCCGTTCTGATCCGCAGATCCAGCCAGGTCTGGGGCAGCCAAAGGGAGCCCAGGGAGGCACCTGGGTTGCTCATCCCTTAGTCCACTTCCCTACAACCTGACCACGTATGGATGGATCTGAAGTATTCTCGAAGGGAGTTTGTTCGCCATTTCTGAAGTTTATTTTTAATTTTATAACCAGGGCAACAGCAATTTTAGGATATCTGCCTCAGGAACTTTTGGGAACTTCGTGTTATGAATATTTTCATCAAGATGACCATAGTAATTTGACTGACAAGCACAAAGCAGGTAAGCATTGAGTGGGGCAAGGTTTCAGTACTTTTGAACTACAGCTTCCACTCCAATTCTCATTTCTGTGAAGTCCAAAACTTGAATTAAACCTCATAAGTTTGCCCTGGCTGGCATAGCTCAGTGGATTGAGCGCAGACTGGGAACCAAAAGTGTCCCAGGTTCGATTCCCAGCCAGGGTACATTCCAGGGTTGCAGGCCATAACCCCCAGCAACCGCACACTGATGTTTCTCTCTCTCTCTCTCTCTCTCTCTCTCTCTCTCTCTCTCTCTCTCTCTCTCTCTCTCTCTCTCTCCCCCCTCCCTTCCCTCTCTAAAAGAAATAAATAAAATTAAAAAAAAAACCTCATAAGTTTGATTTATCTAGTGGTAGACCATTACACTGATTATTATTTTTTTTGTTAAGTTCTACAGAGTAAAGAGAAAATATTTACAGATTCATACAAATTCAGAGTGAAAGATGGCTCTTTTGTAACTTTAAAAAGCCAATGGTTTAGTTTCACAAATCCTTGGACCAAAGAACTGGAATACATTGTGTCTGTCAACACTTTAGTTTTGTAAGTAATTCCTTGTGTGGTAAGACCTTCTATCAATTTCAAATAAATATCTCTGCTTCCCTCTTCTCATCTTGTTAAACCATGATTACACTGTCTGGTCCTCTGTCTTTACATTGCAACTTGAGATATGTGTTGAGCAATTCATTCACTGTCTATTTGCATTAGTTCTCAGAATTAAGCTAAACATTTGCTCTTTTAAAATCTATTCCTTTTGCTTAGTATATAATGTGATAGTGAATGTTTTATTCAAGCATTTCCTTCCTAGGCTTTGTCTTGTCCCATCAGTGAGTGATGTGGATGTGGCTTTAAACTGTATATCTTTGCAAGACATTGTTTTGTCTTCCACATCAGTTTTGCATGCACATTTCCAAAGCCTTGGGTACCATGTGTGATATGCAGGAGAACTTGGCTGAGGGACGAGCAAGAGTCCAGCCCAAGCACTGCTTGCCAAGTCCTGGTCTGTGGCTGTCAGCCTGAAGGAAGAGCCAACTCTTCCTCGTTTGTTCAACATGCTAGCATAGCTCTGTTATAAATATTGGGTTGGTCAAAAGTCCGTTTAGTCTTTTCTGTAAAATAAAAGACATGTTTTTCATTTCTACCAATAACTTTATTGCTTTGGATATTTTGAGTATGTTGGCTATCTTCTGCTGATGGCGTCTAGTGGGTAGAGGCCGCGGGTGCTGCTAAACATCTTCCAATGCATATGACAGCCCCACAGCAAAGAGTTATTTGGCCAAAATGTCAACAGTACCAAGAAACTTGGCAAACCACTTTGGCACATTTAGTTAGTCACAGCACCTTCTCCACACACTGCACAAATCTGTTTTTGCACTTCAGTAGCATTTTTATCTTTCTTAAAATAATGAAGAATAATATGTTAAAAATACTGCTTATCTTCTTCCATCTTCAATATTAAAATGGCTACACAAAAATTCACCAGTTTTGAGAAGTTTTTTTAAATGCACACTGATATGACAGCTGTCACAATACAATCTAACAAAATTGTTTTGAATGAAGTTGAAGGACCAGTAAGTGCTACTAGAGCCATTATACGGAAAAGACTAAATGAACATTTTGGCCAACCCAATATTAGTCTTTTAAGTTTTTTGAAATTGCTACAATGTTACCTCAAACCTATTTCCTTATCTACAATATTTAGCTTTTTCAAAATGCCCCCAGACTTAGTACCTCCAGCAGTATCTGGTTACCCGTTCCAATAACCCTTGCCTTCTTATCATTAGTATATAAACTGAGAGTTTGTAACTATGACAATATATACTTTATAGGGTAATAGGGCATTTGGTACTTAGCTCTTTAATACCTTGGTCTCTCATGGTGACATTAATAATATATGTATATAAAACAAATGGGTCAAGAAATAACAAATGAAATATACAGAGCTTAATATAGTTACTTTAATAATTTCCTTCTTCTTTAAACAAGAAGTCACTCCTGGTGTTTCTAAATTCTAGGGGACACAGTGAGACTGGAGAAGCAGCCCCATCACTTCCTTGCAGTGCTCAGTCATTTGAAGGTAAGCTTAGTTTTAGATGATGGAAACTTATTACCAAGACTATTATTATTGCTACCATCTTTTTCTGTCTTGGAAAGGTAACATTTTCAAGGTGAAATTGAAAAGACTTGTGTGTGGGTTACCCACAGAACTGTGGTCACACTTCTGTTATAATCTGACATTGTGTTGCAATTAGTTGTGCACTCAGCTGGCTCACCGCAGACTAAGTTCCTTAAGAGCAGGAACGGTGTTTTCTCCATCCACTGTCCCCAGCGGCTAGCATAGTTTTGTACTTTGTGGTACTCAATAAAGTGTCTGTCGGACACATTAATGAAAGGTGCCAAGGGGGAGTTTTTGCTTGTCTGTGTCAGTTTTTCACCAGAGGACTTACCTGATGTATCACTTGCATAAATAAAAATATTAGGAAATATGTAAAATAAAGTAGTATTGCTCTGGCTTTAGTGTTGATATTTAAATCAACACTATATTCAAGGATTACGGGTCATGGTTGTACCCTCAGTAACTTTCTACTCATTTGATTCATATACACTCTGGAATAAACATCTTAAACCATCATGAATTATGTTTGTAAAAAAAGCATTAGTGTTTCTAACATTTTCAGATATAGCTAGCCTATTTCTTTTAAAGATAGAAATATTTGAAAGAAATATATCAACCACAGTTACATACTTTTTAAAGTCCTCAATTGACTTTTTCCTTTTGTTGTTTAGAATCCTCCAGAAGGTCCTGTATCAGTGTGCCTGGAATGTGTACTGGAACAGTGCTTGGTGCTGGCAGTATTGGAACAGATATTGCAAATGAAGTTCTGGACTTACAAAGGTAGTGTTTTATTTTTGCAAATATTACAAGTAAAATTATTATACTTTAAAAACCAGTATTCAAAAATCAGTAAGTTTCCTATATGCAAACAGTAACCACTTCAACAATATGATGGAAGAGAAGATCCCCTTTATGGTAGAAACAAAACAGACAAAAAGGTATTTAAATATAGATTTTACAAGGAGTATCTAGAACTGTATGAAAAAAACTTTAAAATGCTACAAAGGTGGTCAAAGATGACTTGAATAACTTGCCAGATAGAAGTTGTTTTTTAATGGGAAGTCTCAGTATTATGAGGATGTCAGTGTTCCTTGAAGTAACCTATGAATTCAGTGTGAATCCAGTCAAAATACCATCATGCATTTGTGTTTTAGAATCCAACAAATGATCGTAACCATTAAAAGATATTCAGGAAAATTCTAAAACACAAAATTAGATTGAGAATAAAACTCAGATATTATATTATAAAGCTACAGTCACTAAAATATTTTGGTACAATGAACAAATAGATTAATGAAAAAGAATAGATTTCAGAAAAAGACTCAAACATATGTGGAAATTTATTATGTGGTAAAAGTGGCATTTTAAGTCAGTAAGGGTAAAATGGATTAATTTTGTTAAGAGCATTCTAGTATTTCTAAAACCATTTGAAAAAAAATAAATTGAGACCCCATTTTTATTCTTTATACTAAAATAAATTCCAAATAAATGAAAGAATTCAAAATAAACCTATAAAACTACTTCAAGAACACAGGTACAGATTTTTATAATCTTAGTTTGGAAAGTCACACACGAATCACCACATGGCCTGGCTGGTTAGCTCAGCGGGTTAGAGCAGGGTCCCCACCTTCTGGGCTTCTGTCCAAGGCCTGTTAGGGAGGGGCCGCACAGCAGGAGGTGAACTTGAATGTAACGTGCTTGTATCATCCCGAACCCATCCCTGCCCGGTCAATGGGAAGATTGTCTTCCACAAAACCAGTCCCTGGCACTAAAAAGACTGGGGACTGCTAGGTTAGAGTGTTGTCCCAATACACCAAGGTTGTGGGTTCGATCTCCAGTCAGGGCACATGCAAGAAGAAGCAACCAATGAATGTATCAGTCAATGGAACAACAAATGGATGTGTCTGCCTCTCTGTCTCTCTCTCCCTTCCTCTCTCTAAAAATCAGTAAAAAATTAAAAATGTATATATTAAAAAAGAGTCATCATGTAACATCCAGAATTCATTAAGGAAAAAATTGATAAATTATATGAAAGCTCAAAATTTAAGCACAACTATAACTATTATAACAAAGTTGAAAGATAAATTATAAACTTCAGAAAAATGTATGTATTTCATGTGATAAAATGGACTAATTATCTTAATATGTGAAGTTTTATAGTATAAGGAATAAAGTTATTAAACTATATAATAAACTTTATAAAACTGTATAATCTTAATCTGTATTAAGCTGTATGTAGTATAAACAATAAAGTTGTTAGCAAATTTTAAAAAATATTTTAATAATAAAGCTGGACCATGGACAAGAACAGAAAAAAATATGAATGGCCAAGAAACTAAGAATTTTGCAATGCCACTCACAGTTAAAAACATGTGCAAACTAAATGAGACACCTATTTTCATTTAGAGGTTGTCAGAGATTTGAAAGATTGATAATCAATATTGGTGAGAATGTGAGAAAACAGTCACTCTTAAATTGTTTGCTGGAATATAAATTAGTCCAGCTGCTATAGAAACAGTTTGACTATATCTATCAAAAATGTTAAGTTTATGTAACCCCATACTCCCCAGTTCTACCCCAGGAGCAGAGTCTTATTCAGATGTGTGAAGATCTGTGAATGAGACTATTCACTGATGTATTTTTTTACAGTAGTGCTTTTAATATTTAAATATTTATCACAGCCATAACTCGTTATGGCATATTCATACAATGGAGTACTCTGCCACTGTTAAAAATTAGGTAGCTCTATTTATGTTAATATGGAAAGATGTTTAAAGTTAATAGAACAGAAACAGAACAAAAGAATAGTGTGTATATAAACCACTTGTGTAAGAAACAAAGGTGTGTGGGGAGGTGAGTGTGTGTGTGTGTGTGTGTGTGTGTGTATGCAGGCCCATAATTGCCCATGTGAAACTCTTGAAATGAAGTAGGTTTTGAACTCAGAATTTCTCTAGATTTTAGAAAGAGTATTTTGGAATTCAGTTTTTTAGAGAGTTATGTGTAATACCCCCAGAGAGCACCAGGGGCAGGACTCTACAAGCAATTAAATCATTTCCCTGATGAAGCATTCACAGACGAAATGGTAAAATGTCTAGTTGAGGGGAGGTGAGAGTTTGGGGTATGTGCCTTAAATAAGATTGGGAAAGAATAACTATTGAAGCTGTTTGGTGGGTGTTATGAGGTTTCACTATATTATCTACTTTTATGTCTGTTTGAAGGACACTTTCCATAATAAAGCTGAAAAATATATTTTTGGAGTGAGGTTTTGTAAATACTTATAGTGAGTAGGACAGAGTGGGATAAAAAAAATAAGTAAGCCTCATACTAGTTAGGTTTTACTGAGTTCAGATCAATTCAGATTTTGCTGTTAAATGAAATATGGAGAATCTTTCAGTTTTCAAGGTGTTTAGGATTTTGGAATTGCAGAGAAGGAACTTATACAAATACCTGCATGATATAATATATAACAATGCAGGTATTTTGTTCAGACTTTTCAGTATTTGTTACCTCCTATGTTTGGGGCTAGGGATTGAGGGATTGGAGATGTAGAAAAGAAGAAATTTTTGCCTTTATTTTCTTTTTGTACAGTTTGAATTTTTAAGTTTTTAAATTAAAAAGTTTAATGTGAAAAAATCACTATAAGACATTTGTGATGTCTCGATGGATACCTGGGTTGCTTCCACCTTGAGGCTGTTGTGAATAATGAAGCTGTGATTGTAGGTATACGAATGTACGTTCTGGTCCCTGCTTTAAGTTCTTTGGGGTATATATCCAGAAGCGGAATTGCTAGATTATATGGTAATTCTATGTAACTTTTTTTAGGGCCTGCTACTATGTTTCCCATATCACCATTTCGCACAAGGGTTGCAGTTTCTCACCATTGATTGTTATTTTCTGTGTTTTTTCTTTTTTTATAACAATCATCCAAATGGGTTTGAAGTGGCATCTCATTGTGATTTTGGTTTGATTGCCATAATGATTAGTGATGTTGTGAATCTTTTCATGTACTTATTGGCCATTTGTATATCTTTTTTGGAGAAATGTCTACTTAGGTCCTTTGCCCATTTTTCATTGGGTTTTTTCTTGTTATTGCTGAGTTGTAGAGTTCTTTATTCTAGAAATTAACCCCTTATCTATACAATTTGGTGATAGTGCCCTTTGACGCACAGAAGGTTTCAATTTCAGTAAATTTGACTATCTCTCTTCTTTTGTTACATGCACTTTTGGTATCATACCCATGAAATCTTTGCCAAATACAATGTCATGAAGCCTTTTCTTCATGTTTTCTGCTGAGAGTTTTATAGTTTTGAGTCTTATATTTAGCTCTTTGATCCATTTTGAGTTAATTTTTATATACGGTATAAGGTAATAGCCAAATTTCCCTCTTCTGCAAGTGAATATCCAGTTTTCCCAGCACCGTTTGTTGAAAAAACTGCCTTTTCTTGGTACCTTGCTGAAAACCATTTGAACATATATGCTGGAAGAGCATTTTAAGAGGAGTGGAAAGTGAGCCAAACATTGACAGCTAGGTACCGTCAAACGGCCAGGGTGCAGTGGGAAAGGCATGTGTATGTGGAGGCACTTCCGCCAGTGTATGGAGGTGGACGGGAGAAAGCGGAGAACACTCGGGAGACTGGACTGAGAGAGGAGTCAGGTTGCTGAGAGCAGTGGGGAGTTTAAGGTGAAGTCGAGTGGTGGAGAGCTTAAATAGCTGATTTCACATTTATATTTACATTGACTTTCCGGTGAAAAATCCCCCAGGCAGGCTGCTGATCTGTCCTTCTGTTTTCTGACCTAATTCATTCCATTTCTGTATTAATTTCTCCCTCTGTTGCCAACTGTCATCTCGAGAATACATGAAGACAAGGTTATGTTTATGCCATTATGCGTTTCACATAATTGAGCATTTAATAATATATTATGTGATACTGTCAGTTTTACATGTTTAAGTCTTATGAAGCAATTAGTGATTGAAGGGTATGTTTGTCATTATGTGTCTCATTGATTTTTGTCCCTGAGGATGACCTGTCACAGTTAAAATATGACATTTTCTACTTAAAGTTTGCAGAATGTTAGGAAATCTTTACCTTCAGTTCTGCTATTTGTTATCTTGATAAGGAACCAATTCTTGATGTGAATGCTTGTTTTAAACTAAGTGTGTTATATGTTATTGTAATACATCACCAGGTGCTATATGAAGATAAGTAACACGGTTTACATACTCCTCAGAGTTTCACGTTTCTGTGTCCTCCCGAGTGCTTTTCAGCTCTCTGTAGTCAGAGTGAGTCTGCACCTAATGAGCTGACCTATTGTGAAAACTGCCCTGGTACTCAGTCTCCTGTTATACTCCACTGCATTTTTACTGGATCAGGATGTATTCAGAGAATGTTTCTTTCTAACAATATAAGTAGAGAAACTGTCTTATGTGTCACTGTTTAAAGGTTACAGTCTTCTTCATCCCGCAGTGGTTCCAGCCCAACAGATTTAATGAACGACATTCACACTGTCAACTGCAGGAATGTAAGTACGATCATAAGTGATAATATTCATGAAGTAAGTGAACAAAAAAATTTGCTCCTTGTTGATCATTTCCCCTGAGAAAAGAAGCCATCCTATAAGCAAACAAATGAACTGTTTTTTAGCTGTCTGTGGTCTTTAACAGGCCGTGGAGAATGGTGGTTAAGAGTGAAGGTGCTGGAACCACCCTACCCGGGTCCAAGATGAGGCTCAGACACTTACTAGTGCTTAACCCGGCCTTGCTATTTTAACTCTTGGTGCCTTGGTTTCCTCATCTGTAAAGCAGGAATAATTAATCATAGAGGCATAAACACCAGTCTCTTGGAATGGTGTATGAATGTAGCGACTCGCTGTGAAAACAAACAAAAGCTTAACAGTGCCTGATGCACAGCATGTGCTCCCTGAAGGGGAGCAGTTATTACTGTTGTTATTCCAGGTTAGTGGGTTGAATGTGCACTGCATTGATGGCCAGTAAAAAAGTTGAATGTAAGCTACAAGACAAGTATCACACACTATTCAATTCAAGTGGACAACTATTGGTTATTTGAACTGCATTGGTACCTATACAACAGTGACTAAATGTAGTGATATCTGGAAGACTCACATACAATATAATTCTAATGTAGCCCAGACAGCACAAAGCTCTAAAACAGGTCTATAAACAAAGTGGTATAAGAATATAATAGAAAAGAGAAATTAAATATGGCCAGGCACAAAAGGGAACTTGCAAATGTATCTTGACATAAAATATTTTGTCTTTTGGGTTAGTATATTTAAATTTTACTTACACATTTAGCAAATGTTTGTTGGATACTCATTTGTGCCGGGCTTTATGTTAGAAAAAGCGGTTAAGTTATTGTAACAAAAATTTCCAAGTAGTGTTTGTTATATAGACATTCTATACATAAAGCACTTCAACTTAGGATAAACAACTTCCTATTTGGATGCACTACATTGAATGTTAGATTGTTTGGCTTGTAACTGTGTAACAATATGATAACTTTTGGGGAAAAGCCTTTGGTTTAATCCATTTTCCACTCCAAAGCCGTATTTTCCACTGTAGTTGCATATGGAATATAGTTTTGCCATCTTTTTTAAAAACTGAAGTAACTGACTCAGAGCATTATGGTCAGGAACTTTCCCTTCATCACCTAAAACTTTTCCTCATAGTATGCACAGTCAACCATGGTTATGAAGAGTGTGGGCTTGGAGTCAGGACGATGGGTTAAAATTACAGCTCTAACACTTTGGGCAAGATATTAGCCTCTTGAGACCTTAGGCTCCTGACCTGTAATACAGCTAGCTCACAGCTTTTTTTTTTTTTTAAGATTTTATTTATTTTTAGATAGAGAGGAAGGGAATGAGAAAGAGAGGGAGAGAACCATCAATGTGTGGTTGCCTCTTGAGCTCCCTCAGCTGGGGACCTGGCCTGCAACCCAAGCATGTGCCCTGACTGGGAATTGAACCAGCGACTCTTTGGTTCACAGGCCTGTGCTCAATCCACTGAGCTACACCAGCCAGGGCCTCAAAACAATGTTAAGACAAAATGAGATAACACATGTGGAGTGCTCAAGCAGAGCACGCAGTACATGCGAGCTGGCCATGTTGGTGCTGGGAGGGGCAGCGCTGCCAGCAGGCCTGGGTCTGGTGACTGCTAAGAAGCATTTCATTCACGTAGGAGACTTACTTCTTATTGACTTACTACTTATTGTTGTCCTTTCAGGTGTCAAGTAAGGAGTTGATTCCACTAAGTCCTCCTGAAATAGGGAAGCTGGAAGCTACAAGGCAAAACCACAGCGTTGTTGCTCCCCAGGAACCCCTCCTAGGTAAGTTTTTGTTGGCTACTGCCCACCACATCGTTTTTCCAAAAACTCCTTCTTAATCCCCCTGTGTTTTCAGGCATAGGAGATTTCTAGAGAAGCAAACAAGTTTAAAACTAAGACTTTCCCATTCAAAATCCTAAACACAATAATCATACACTTGCGTTACTTAATGGGCCTGTCACTGAAAGTTCAGTTATCAGCTGAATCAGTTATGAGTATTGCTCGTTAGTACAATTTAAATCGAACTAAGGTATTTCTGTCTAGGAAACAGTGTCCATTCTCAGGAATCCAAGAATTTTTAAAGGGTACCAATGATAAAAAGTTTAAGATGTAATCATTCATTTTAACTATGTTTATACAAAGTTCACATCAAGTAAATTGAAATGACAGTTTTATACCCCCTGTAACTAACATTTATTTACTGAAATTTATGTAAAAAAGAATCAAAGAACTTGAAGGAATCTGGGTATTAGCTGTACACAAAACCACTTATTAATCACTTCAAGTTCTATTGTGCTTTGAAAGATATCTAGAAAACTTGGGTTCATCTGTAGCTATATTTTTAACCCTTAATTTCTAGAACTTCTTTATCTCTAACTAAAATCTCATTTCCATAGTCCCACCTTAGATCCCTTTTTTCAGTAAAAATCTGGTTACTTCCCTTTGATAAGAATACTAAGGTTTTAGAAACCTTTGTCACAGCCTTCTCATTTTTGAGTTAAACAAATAGTTTGTTTGTATACAAAACAGATTGTAGTTAAATTTCTCCCTCCGGGCTCTACACACACACACCCACGCACCCACGCACACCAAACCCCAGCCTCTGTTTTCCAACTGTCTGGGAGTCTGTACCTTCTCAGGCTGTTCTTTGCTATTAGAAAACTCAGACTAGCTCATTTATGTATATGAAGTGAGTTAAGTGCAATTTATCTGACAGCAGACTGTTACAAATTTATCCAGTGTTTGCATTTTAAGATACATAGTTTGCCCTCAAAAATGCATTGTATGGTATTCTAGCCGTGCTTTGCCTTTCTGAGGATCATCATTTTGAACCTTCAAATGTACTTATATGGGCCTGTATTCTAATTCTGTAGGTGATGGTGCCCAGCTGGATTTTGATGCCTTCTGTGACAACGATGACACAGCCATAGCTGCCTTCATGAATTACTTAGAAGCAGAGGGGGGTCTGGGGGACCCCGAGGACTTCAGTGACATCCGCTGGACAATTTAGCATTTGATTTTTAACTCCAAAAATGAGAACAGTTTTGCAGCATTTCTTTTACAAAACAAAAAACAAAAACAAAACCCTGTATATTCTTCTGTACTATATTGATACTGTTTTTATCCTTTATTATTAAGGGTCCACCAATTTTTATAGACTTGTACCTACTCTCACAGGAGCCTGTGGAAATGTGACATTTTCCTTCAAACAGAACTGCCCAGAGTTGCTGACAGACCCCTTTATTCAGTGGACTGGCTTTAAACCTGCTAGTTGCTATTTTTGCTAAAGTCTTTCTAACCAACAGCATTCCGTGTATCTTGTTTTATTTTTTGATGCAGTTTTTTTGAGTTTGGGGAATTTAATATGTTGGCATTTTCCTTGTGCCTAAGATACATTTAGAATTGACTCACAATAGATTTGTGTAATTTGAAACATTTCCACTTCTTGTGTGTTTCCTTAAAGTGACAGTGACATTTATAGTCGTGGTCACAGGGAATACTGTGTTCGGTCTTTGCAGACTTGGGCAAGCACAGAGCCAGGATGCTTCTGTCCAGCTGAGCACTCGGAGATGGATTTTAAATGAGATGATTTCTGTTTAAAACTCAGAAAAGTTGAGAGGCTTTCAACTTTGCTTACGGAAAAGGAAAGATTTGGGGCCCTGGATGTCAGTGATTAACTGTTGCATATGTAAGATTTACTCTTAATATAACCACCCAAGACTCCTTACAGATAGAATAGGCTATGTTGAAATGGTACAGAGTAACCAATTATCTTAGAGGAAGAAACAGGCCCAGGCAGATTAAATGTTTTGTGTAAAGACACAATTAAATTCATATTTTTTAGTGTTCAACGAACGTGTCTAAACCAGTTTCTCTTTACACATTTGGGAAAGCAGTGGTCTCACTGGTTAAATAATTAACTAACTGGCTCAAGAACTAGTCATGGCCTTATATTTATATTATGGCCTTATATTTATAAATCATTGGGCAATTACAGTTACTATTGCCTATAACCCAAGGCTGTTATATATATATATATATATATGGGAAACACATTAGAAATATGAGGCAATGAGAAAAAATTTTAAACCATTCTCTAGCTGCAATTAAAAAATTTGGAGAGCATTTAACCAGTAATTAATCCAGAGGTGTCTCAAACTGAGTGCAGGAATTAAGAGCATTTAGAGCACCATATGTATGGCTACCATTTTGAAGATCACATTTCCATAACACCTTATGTTAATAGCTCTTTCTAGTTTACCAAGTACATTCCCATATATTCTCTTTTGTGCCCCACAAATGAAAGTAAGGTAGCTCAGGAAACTGGTGAGGGAACCTTGAGGCTCAGATGTGAGGTTCAAATCCAGTTCTTCCTCTAGAAGGTTCTATACCTTTCCAGCTGATTGTCCCCAGAGCCTCTCACCACAGCAAAGCATTTTTGATCTTGCATATTTCTTTAGGCTGCAAGTACTAGATTGCACTTTCATCAGGTGTGTTAATGGCAAACAAGCCAACAGGTAATAACCAAAGGAGAAGTTCCCATCTCGTGTGATGTTTTCAGTAGCTCTGTGGGCAAGGGTGTATTGGCACATTGTCCTCTGAAGCCGACACGATGTTCCAGCAATGTCAGAGGGCTGGCACCACTCCTGGTTCTGACATGGGATGACATGAGACATCCAGGTTTAGGACAAGCCAAAGAAACCCTTCAGGACAGGGGAGGCTGGTGTGCCGCAGCCTAAGCATGATGGTAGAGCCTAAGGAAACATGAACAATCACATCTGTTCTCTAAGTGCAGTAGAGGGGCCTGCCTACAAGCTTAACACTTTCAGGGTGTGAAGCACTTTCGGGGATGCTTGGCCTGCAGAATTGACCTAAGCCAGTGGTCCCATGGTAGGTCATTATGCCTAGATGGCCTTGAAAGCAGAGGGGACAGACCTTTGTGACGCAAGGATCCGAGAGGCAGAGTTTCCAGAGGCCAGCTGCTGCTGCCTTGCACAGTAGCCATTTTCTCTCTTCGCCAGAGGGGCAGTTCCACAGACTGGTTGACAGCCATTTCAGTGCTCTGATCCTTCAGTAACCCACTCATAGTGTTTTGTAGATCTTCCTGCCCTGGACCCAGAATCCGCCCCACACACTGTATGATGCTGTATAGCTCTCTCAGGTTTAATGTGTTCTTCAAAATGTGTTGTGTTTGCATCTGATTGCTGTTAGGAGCGGCAGGTATTTTTATGGCTTACTCAATACTATTTTTTCTCCTACCTATTAACTTCTCACATCTTGGTTAAAAATATCTACACACTGAATGAAAGCATCATAAAAAGAATACTCTAGTGTTCTTTCCTTTTTTTGTCACCCAAAGAATTACCCACAGTCACGTAGTGGGGTGGGGGGAGTGCCTGGAATCAGAAGAGCCCACTCAGCCTAAACTGAGCTGTGTGATGACAAGCAAGTCACTCAAAGCTCTCTGGACCTCGGTTTCCACATTTGCAACAGAAGGTTCAGTCTCTGAGTTTACTTCTAGTTCTGATTCTGTGACTCTGATCCATAGGGCTGGAGCTTTGGGGTCAGGCTGTAGGGCTGTGCTGTCCTGTGCCATGGCCACTGGCTGCCTGTGGCCACTGGGCACTTTAAATGCAGCCAATTCAAATGAGAAGTGCTGTCAATATAAACTTCATACCATCTTTCAAACACCATATAGAAAAGGAATAAACTATATTAGCACTTTTATTGATTCCATGTTCAAATAATATCGGATATATTGAATAAAACAAACATTAAGTTTTTGCTTTGGACTTCTCTAATGTGGCTGCTAGGAAATTTAAAACTGCATATGTGGCACACGCTGTATTTCTGCCGGGCATCTCTGCTCCAGAGCATCCTAGGAAGTGACTGCTACTGGAGCAGACCGAAGGTCATATTCCATGAATATGACATGTACCTCCAAATGCTGTGGTCTAAAGAGCAGTTGTGTATTTATTCCTGATTTCGTACAAATAACCCATTTCCATGTATCAAATTTAAAGCTTAAAAAACTGGTGAACTTGAAAATTTGATCATATATTATAGGATGATAGCTTGACATCAAATGAAACATGAGCTATATGTTGATACCCTATGGAAGTAACTAAATTTGGAAATCCATTAAGAAAAAAAAACAGGAAAGTACAGAATGGGGTTCCAGTATTTAATTACAGTGTTCCATGGGGAAAGGCTGTATTTAGGAGTCATGTTCCTTGAGGAGTCTCTGTTGAGTCAGGGGCACAAGGAAATGAAATAGCCACTGCCTAGTTGTCGGACCATGTTGGGTGGTGTCCAGTTTCAGAGCCCCCTCTCGTGAGGCATCGACCCCCCTCAAGTGGGCCATTGTTGGGCTCTGGAATTGGAGAAGTAGATTGGCCATGCAGGGTATTGCAGGCAGAGCAAGGCTGACATCTGGAGTACTCAGAAGCCATAAAAAAACCCTGCCAAGTGGCCACTAGATGTCACTTGTCCATTTCTTTAGCGCTTTGTTTTCTTTCGTTAGGTGACTTTTTCCCAAGTTCCATGGGGCCTAGGAGAGGCACTTATGTCCTTTGTGTCTACAATACACCTTCTGCCTTTCTGGTGTGAGTTGTTTTATGAGAAATGCTTGTTAAGAGAAGATCCTTCCCACTTAACATGAGAACTTTGGTTTGGGGAGCTTCCCAGACGTGGCTCTAGTAAAAAGCTGACCTTAGAAAGAAAACCCGTCTGACCTGGAACATGCTTTCTGGACTCATTTGAGAGTGTATGGTGTGTGTGTCACTGCTCATTGTTCGAGCTTAGGTTTGTCTTTTATACAATTTTTAGCTTTTCACCAGTTTACTCACACTTCTGTATATTGGTATTTTTTTAATTTTGTGGTAAATAATGAAAAAAGTGAAATTAAACTATATTTTATAATAATTACCAGTTTGGAGTTTTGTTAATATATTAAAATTCCTCCTGCCCTGGATGGTGTGGCTCAGTGGATTGAGCACCAGCCTGTGAACCAAAGGGCCGCTGGTTCAATTCCCAGTCAGGGCACATGCCTGGGTTGCGGGCCAGGTCCCCAGCTGGGGGAGCTCAAGGGGCAACCACACATTGATGTTTCTCTCCCTCTCTTTCTCCTTCCCTTCCCCTCTCTAAAATAAATAAATAAAATCTTTAAAAAAACCTACAAAAAAGTATCTCCCTTAACTGCATTGTAAAGCAGAAACAGACTAGGCAGACGATGTAGTGTTCTCAAACTGCTGGGCAGAGGGTACACTGAACTACCTCAGGTAGACAATTTTAGCTGTGTTCATCAGCGTATGCCTACGGCTGTAATAACTCTAGATATCAGTGGCTTAACTCAATAAGGGTTCCTTTCTGCTCACATCACAACCCAATGTAATCAATGCCTCAGTCTGTCTCGTCCCTCCCTGCCTCTTCCCCGTCCCCTTCCCACCTCTCAGTTTTGCTTTCCCCTAAGCTGGTTTAATCCTCTGGTGGACCTTCTTCCCCATAGTGACCCACAGAAGCTCCCAGCATGTAACTGTTCGTGTACCTGGCAATCTCAGTGAAAGAGAGCTTTATTTCCTAGTAATTCACACTAGTATGTCCATTGAGTGGGCCCTGGGTTAACTTGGTTCACATGGACTTTCCTGTGATCAACAGGCTGGAACACACAGATTGGCCAGGCTTCTGTCACATGCCAAAACCTGGATTTAAAGGCCTCCTGGAAAGGGAAATTGCATCAAAAATGGCCAAGTGCCCTGCAGTCCAGCGCCAGGGGAAGGAATGGGGACATATGCAGAAGGGACGATGGAAAACTTGTAACTCATCATCGCTGATGATTTATTTCCTAGGACTGTGGGTGTAGGTATGTGAGCCTCTAGTATTTTTGGTTTTGATTATTTTATTTGGGGAGGGGGTAGGGAGGAGTAGCAAGTTATATCACCCGTGTTTAACCTTGGCCACCTTTTCTGTGTAACATCCAGCCCCTCGTCACTCTGAAAAACCCTGTCTATTGCTTAAGGTAAGTGTGCAGTAAAAGTCAATAAAAAGTTGCCTTAAATCCTTGCATAGCTGTGTGTTTCTGGTGTTTGATTTGCAGTTTCTTAGGCA